TAAGTTGATCTTTCACATTCCGTTTCTTTAGATTATTCTCTTTGGGGAGACAGGGGGAAGCAGGTGGATAATTGTTACAGTCATCTTTGCAATTTTGGGGTAGACAACTTTTCTGATAGTAATGTTGTTGCAGGATGTCGGTGCAACCTTGGTTATCTGTCAATGGGGCTTTGATGATGAGGCAAATCATTTACTAATGAACCGAAACTTGCCTGCTGTCAGATGGGTTGGTGGTGTGGAGTTGGAGCTCATAGCGATAGCTACAGGTTTGTTCTGTTTATCTTATTTTCATTTGCAGACATGGTAGCCAAATTCATGATAGGTAAATTTCTAGCTGCCAATATGGTGTATAACAATATGAGCGATCTATTTTATTTATCTTTATAGGTGGAAGGATTGTGCCAAGGTTCCAGGAGTTGACCCCAGAAAAGCTGGGAAGGGTATGTTTACTCCTCCATTATTTCCTTGTCTGTATTACATTGCTTAGAAATATGTGTTGGATAAATTGCTCCCTAAGAAAATGTTTCTATGCAATAGATAGAGGACAACTGGTGAAGCTAAAGTGAGATGACTTAACAATTAACAATTTGATCATTTTTCGTTTAAGCACTAAAGCATTGCTCATTTGGACTAGTAATTTAGGTTCGATGAAGTATTTACATTGTAAATTTCAGGTTAACCCCCATGCACTGCATCTGTCTCTTATCACAAACACTTGTTTGTTTTTAACTCTATTTTTTAGGCCGGTATGGTCAGAGAGAAGTCTTTTGGCACCACAAAAGATAAAATGTTGTACATTGAACACTGTGCAAATTCAAGGGCTGTGACCATATTTATTCGTGGAGGTAGATTCTATTCCCTTCTGTTTGGTTTATGTTTGTTTGATAATAATGAGTCATCTTTTATTCAGTCATCGTAATTTGACTTTGTATCTTGGTTAGGCTTAAGCCTAGTCTCAACTGTCAATAGTAAGACTTGTTGACTTATTCTTGGAGATAGTATCTAGTGCCAAAAAAAATTCTTGGACAGTTTTAGAGCGTGGATGTTTTTACCAGCCAACTCTTAAAACCAGTGGGAAAATGACTAGGTTAAAGAGAACTGTAAGGATGAAACTTACATGACACTTTGACATGTGAAGAAATCTCTTGCTTCCTTTTTCTCGGTATGCGATTTATCTGCTTCATTCTTGTTTTTGGACATCTTTATTCTTGATCAATCTAGAACTGGTTGGCCATTCACTCATGTTTATCATAAAACAGAACCATGCAAGGATTTACTCTTTATTTTATTATGGTGTTGGGCCAAAAGTAACAAAAAGAATATTCCAAGGTGCAATGCAAGCTGAATCGATATGGATTTTTCATAAAATCTCATAAACGCTTTCCTTTGTGGTTGATGATTCATTAGGAAACAAGATGATGATAGAGGAGACAAAGCGCAGTATCCATGATGCATTGTGCGTGGCCAGGAATCTCATTCGCACAATTCTATTGTCTATGGTGGTGGATCAGCTGAGATTTCTTGCTCAATTGCTGTCGAGGCAGCTGCAGATAAATATCCAGGAGTAGAGCAGGTAAGAAGAAGCGCATGTAATCCTCTAAATACCTTAACATTCTTTCTGTTGGAGTAATTGTATAACATCAAAATTTTGTTTTCACCTGCAGTATGCAATCCGGGGATTTGCAGATGCGCTAGACTCGGTCCCCATGGCCCTGGCTGAGAACAGCGGTCTCCAACCTATCGAGACACTATCAGCTGTGAAATCTCAGCAAATTAAGGTAATTACTATAATTTGTATGATAATAGTTTTGATCTTATATAATCTCACCACCATGTAGTATATCGTTAATTTCGTTCTCTTGTATTCGATTCCAGGAGAACAATCCACGCTATGGAATAGACTGCAATGATGTTGGGACTAACGATATGCGGCAGCAGGACGTCTTTGAGACGCTGATCGGGAAGCAGCAACAGATCTTACTAGCAACACAAGTTGTGAAGATGATTTTGAAAATCGACGATGTCATTTCTCCATCGGAATACTGAGGTATAATTCCGAAACCGTTTCACCCAGAAGGGTTACCTTGATTTCGATTGTTTGGTTTGGTTCGCTCCAGAACATTTTTTTCTTCACTTGATAGAAACATGTTCTACTCTTTTCTTTTTTTTGGGAACTGTCAAGCCCTTGGTTGAAGTAGGATGATGAACTCATCTTGTTGACAATGGTTGTTTGTTTCTTTTATTTAGTCCCTACTTTCAATCATCAACGTATCAATCTTCGTATTCCCTTTTATTCTTCTCACCTTGAGTCCTCAATTTAGGACCCAAACGTAAAAATCTAAAACCAATGGGGTCCTTTTAGTATTTCCAATTTTTTTTCTTTCTTGTCTTCAATGTTTGACGGAGAATATCTTTGAAATTGTAAATTTGGGGTTCTCGAATTCGGTTAACTTGGTTAAATGTTTTTAAAAAAATATATAAAAAATGGTGAAATTGTTGGCGAATTCTTGTGTGGAAAATTGTGCCACAGTTGTCATGTGATGAATGTACGAATCGTTAATAATTATTAATGATTATTAATGGTATTCAACGGTGTTCAACGATACTCATCGAGTGTGATTAAAGAGAAGTATGAATGTATCTTAATTAATATAAGATTTCATGAGTGTTGAGATTATACGAGGGTCGAATATGTTAATAATATAAGTCTTAAATAAATCATAAAGTTATATTTTTAATTTTATAATTGATTTGTATACTTTCATAATATATTCTTTAAGGCTTAATCCTACCTATTATTAGAAACTTAATACGATAACAACAACAATAATAATAAGCTCAATTGATTGAATTGAAAATTCAATTTATCAAACATTTTGGTATGCTCTTTTCTCTGTTAGCTGATAGGCTTTAAGAATTTTGATATATTTGATCGAAAATTCGCACATTGATAACCATTATTTCAAGAAGACAAATAACATATTTCGAAATTAATCTTATCGGACGACTGTTAGAGGAAAACAAAACCATTAAAATGTTCATCATTTAGATAATATTTTTTTATCATTTTTGTACGAGTTTTGTAAAATTTAGTTAGATAAAGAAAGATAAATAAAATATGAACATTTATATATCGATTTTATCGTAAATGACGATCGATGACAAACGAATATCGGCCGCAACGACTATCAAAAGAGTTTGATAACTTTTAATAGAAAAACAAGAAAGTAAAACCAATCTCTTTTATATCCAGTTATAATGCTGTAGTTTTCATCATAGAACGAGCTAGGGTTCATTTCATGCAAGCATGAAGATTACAAAGACGATACCTTCTATATTGAAGTACTTCCTCGTAATCTCGTTATCGCTCTTGCTCTTCGTTTTTCTCCAGAATCGCCGCTCCCAAGCCTTACTTGCTACCATCGCCACCGCCGTCGACCACCCTCCTCCCCCTCCATATTCCGCCGCTGCCTTCTCCGGTGACCTCAAGATTAGACGCGGCTACGCCGCCTACGAAGCCTACATCCAACTCGACAAAACCCTGAACCCGAAACTACGGAAAATATGGACGACCCGTGATTGGGACCGCAAGGTCAAAGTCTTCTCCAGATTCTTCAGAGAACTGATGGACGAGAACCTGTTATACAAATCCTCCTGTTATACAAATCCTCGAAGTCTCTCTCCATCGGCGCCCGCGTCGGCCAAGATGTGGAGGCGCTCAGACGTGTCGGCGTCTCCGACGCCGTCGGCATCGACCTCGTCCCTTGCCCGCCGCTGGTCGTGAAAGGTGACTTCCACGATCAACCTTTCGACGACGACACCTTCGATTTCGAATTCTCCAACGTCTTCGACCATGCGCTTTACCCGAAAAAGTTCGTCGCGGAGATCGAACGGACGTTGAAGCCTGACGGCGTCTGCGTTATACACGTGGCATTGTCGACACGCGGCGATAAGTACTCAGCCAACGATTTGTATAGCATTAAACCGTTGACTAAGCTTTTCCGGCGATCGGAGCTGGTTCGTGTACGTAAAGTTGACGGCTTTGGGTTAGACACCGAAGTTGTCTTTCGTAAGAAGAAAAAAATGATCCAAGGGTGGTGATTTGATTTTTTATTATGTAGTTTTGATAAACTAATTAATAGGATAATTAATTAATTTTGGGATATATCATATTTAGGACGTGTACTTTAATAAAATATCAATGAAATACCTATCTTTTAACAATTTGTTAATTTATACTTTGATAAAATATTGAGTAAATTATACATTTAGTACCTAACTATCAGTTTTGATTTATTTAGTACCTAAATTTTAATTTTTCAAAATCATACCTAAACTGTAGTTTTTGTTTCATTTTAATACACCTGTTCAAAATTAACGTTAAATTTTTTGAAAGTTTAGGTACTAAAATGAGTTAAAATTGATTATTTATGTACTAAACGTGTAAGTTTTTAACGGTGGGTAATAAAAGAAACAAAAATTAAACGTTAGGTATGGTTTTGAAAAAATTGAAAATTTAGATACTACAATAGATCAAAACTGATAGTTTAGATACTAAATGCATAATTTACCCTAAAATAGTTAGTGTGATATCTATACTTTGTTTTGGGAAGAATGATATTTATACTTTTAAAATGTTCAATATAGTACCTATATATCGTCAAACGTCTATTATAGTATATGAACCATCACTTTGTATATTATTATTGTACATGAGTTAATCATGCCATTCATCTCAAATTATATCTAGATTTCAAATTAGTCCAAATGTTTAGAACATTCTAATTGAATCCTCTAACTTTAATATTATTTCAATCGAATACTTCAATGGAAGTGTCACAAACTCGCAATGTCATTGCCAATGCTTGAAGACAAAATATTAGAAGTGATCATAATTAAATTTAAAAACATGAAGGGAGGAAAGTACATCTGAAGAAGTTGGAAGGAGCCAAAAGCACATTGATCCTAGCAACCTACAGTGTAGACTCAGCAGGGTATTTTCATTCCTTCTTCCTAGAATCTTTGAGTTGTCCCCTCTTTCGAATGCCGAGACAACAGCGCAAACGCCACGCATCAACCACGCTTTCCGGCAGTGAATGAGCCAGGTCCCAGAGGATGGAATGGGGCCAGTAGGGCGTGCAACGAGATTCATCGACTATCCACCGCATGGCTGCACGAGCATACCCGTCAGTCGACGGAACAAAGAAGGACGATCTTCTGATTGGCGCCATTTTGGTTGCGACGTACAATGGAACCTGCATTAGGATACCCCTTGATTGATCAGAGAATGCCGATGCATGAGAGTTCAACAGGGCTCGATATTTGCGACAATGTTGAGGTACAACATCTGTGTAAAGCGATAGCACTCGTCAACTGACCTATACACATCAAACTCATAGAAGCTCAACTTTAATCCTGTGATCATACAAATGGATAGACTTCCCAAACCAATTTAGCGATAACCCTCCCTCTTAGATGTCGATACTGAACAATTTCGTTAACGTTTCAATGCACAGCCAAGAGAAATAGTAGACCAATGTTACTGGAACTCTAAAGAACCTCCAAATACATGAAATTAACTTCGAAAAGACTACCCATACTTGCATCCGACACTCTCACCCGAATCAAAATAACACAGATTTAGACTAACCCGTATCTGGAATCTCACCTATGGGTTCAAGTTTCAACCTTTCAATGTAAATCATAGGCATGTATCAGCAAACATTACCTGACACTGAACATCGATCCCACTGTTCTTGTATTCAACATAAAGGCACCTAGAGAATGATCAATATACCTGAAAACAATACCATCAACTTTAGTAGCTAAAAGAAACAAAAACCCAAATTTTAACTATGCAAAAAATGTTAAAACCACCTTAGTTAACTACTTCAGACGACACTGTTTACAGAAACCTGGGAGACCTTATCATGTCTTGTTTTGACTGTTCAGCTATTGTTGTGGCAAAAGGGTCCTCAAAGTTTTCCGAAAACATCAATTAAATCCCTCTAAACTTCTTGCATCCAATTGAGCTCTCTACTTGACCATTTTTAATTAAATCGAGAAAGTGAATCAATTAAGTCTTTTTATCAATATTTTTTGGTTAATTTGAGGTGATTTAAGATAGTATTTATTTTAAAAAAATTAGTCTATTAACAAGACATATATATATTATACATATGTAATTGTTCGAACCCGAAACATTTAAAGAGAATAATTTTCTATTTTACCACTCAAACAACTCAATAGTCTCTTCTTTGATAATATTGAATATTAAATCTTATTATATTTTTGAAATAATATAAATATTCTATAGGGAAAACACCATCTATACCTATGGATTAAGGGTGTTCAAAATTCAGTTTTAACCGAATTAACCGATCGAACCGAATTAGTTCGGTTAATTCGGTTGGCCACCGAATTTGTTCGGCCGGGGAACGGTTAATGATTTTTTTTGGAATTCGGTTAACGGTTAATTCGATTTGAAATCAGTTAATTAACCGAATTAACCTTTAACTATAATTATATTAAGAGACTTAGCCAGCCCAATCCATTTAAAACCCAAATCAATATTAATTAATTAAAATAATTTCAATACTAAATGCAAAATGTTTGAATCAAATTAATTAGATATTATTTATAATTAGATATTATTTAAAATAATTGTAAATTGTTTTTTAATTAAAAATATTAAATTCTAAAATTCTAAAAAAATTGGTTAATTCGAAAATTAACCGAATTAACTTAAATTTATTCGATTCGGTTAATACTTTCAAAAAAAAGTTTGGTTCGGTTAACGGTTAAAGAAAAAAAAGTTCGATTAATTCAATTAAGGGTATTTTGGTTCGGTCGGCCACTGTTTTAACCGAATGAACACCCCTACTATGGATGATAGATAATAGTATATCATACATTAAGCTTAACCTTATGTTTGATTCCTTCAATTCTATTTTATACACAATACTAATGAAAAGCACGGTAATAATACCAACAAGTGGCTAGTACAGAAAAATTTTATTGGGTGAATCAATATAAATATAAAAAAAATTGTATAGTACTAAAATTAGGTCACAAAATTTTAATTTTAGGATAAAAATTTCATCCGTAGATAAAATCGTTGGTTAACAAACGATTAGCGTTTTAAAATAAAGTTTCTTTTTACCCTAAAATGAAACATTGGAAGCCTAAATACTCTAGAAAAAAACTAAATTAGAGTGACTATTCAGTCAAAAATTAAAGTCTTTTTTGCCTTAAAATGAAACGCTAGGAGTTAAAATATTCAAAAAATAAATAAATAAAAACCGAAATGATCATTTTGATAAATATTAGGGATTAATTTTGACATTATACCTAAAAATTTATCTAACATAATTTGTATATATTTTTAAATTTAAGATTTTTATAACTATATATTTAAAGCAAATCTAGAAAAATATATCCACTAGACCAATATATTTTTTAACATAATTTATACATACTTTTATTTAAATAATATATATATATATATATGATATTTTGGGACCTGGGTGGGCTATGGACTAGGTAAGCCTACCGTAGAAACGCCCCTGATATTAACGGGGTTGGTTCAAGTGGTAAGTCGTTTGATATTGACAAAGCAAGTTTCAAGTTTGAGTCCTTGTGTATGTAGAAAATTACCACTGGGAGACTCACCTATCATAATTAGGTGTACGACGTGGATTGATCCGAATTAATTAAAATAAAACCCTGGAATCCTGAGGGGAAAATGAAAAAAAAGCATGGCAATTAATATTCACATTGATAACTTAGTTAGCATGGGGCTTAATTATTTAATGAGTTCAAACACCGCTTATACATAAATATAAACGTTTATTATTAAAGAATTGAAAGTATTTATATATTACCGTTTTTATTTATTTATTAATAATATGGGTTAAGTACAATGTATTTTGTTAACGGCAACTCTCAACCTCTTGACATTAAATGCTCACACCCCTGACATCTATAGCGCTTGAACCCTGATCTTTAAAAAATAACAACAATTTCTTTACCAAAGATGTCACTTCTTGCTATACCATTTAATATTTAAATCAATTATTGCCATGCATTTCATTAATATTGTATATAAGTAGAATTGAAGCAACCACACATACATAATGTATATGAATGCAAGATATATCATTATCTCCTCACCAATAAATATAAATTTTATGGTAAAATATACGAATGGTTTCTGATTATAGGATAATACTTTATTAAATCTCTTAACTATTAAAAATTATAAAATGATCCTCCAATTATAGAGTGTTACTTTATTGAGTCCATCGACTATCAAAAATTACAAAATGATCACCCAACTATTCATTATGTTCCAACTCATCATTTTTCGTTAAAAATTTGATGGTAGTCGATATTATGAGTTGAACTTTAATTTGTTGACCGTAATATGATAAAATTTGTTCCCAAAATCTCAAACGACTATCACATCTCAATCATCATATTAACGTCCAACTTAGACAGTCGATAATTTTTTAACGGAAAAAGACAAGTTTAGAATATAATGAATAGTTAAGTAATCATTTTGTAACTTTTAATAGTCGAGGGACTCAATAAAGCACCACTCTATAGTCGGAGAATCATTTTGTAACTTTTAATATTCGAGGAACTCAATAAAGTAATATCCTATAGTTAAGGATCATTTGTGTACTTTATCCTAAATTTTAATATAATTTTTTAGATTTAAGTTCAAGTACCGCATATACAAAATATAAACGTTCAACTTTTAGGAGCGCGTAGGGTTTTGTATTTTATATGAATGTTTCTTTGATGCCGACTGCTAGGGCGGTTGGTGACCAAACGGTAGTAATGGAGGGTATAGAAGATGATCCGATGGTGTTTGAGCAACTGGTGACTTCGATAAAGATGGGAGATCAGGAGTTGGTCTTGTCGGGTGGAGATATTCGTGCATTGGATGAGCAGCAGATAGTGCAAAATGTTCCAAGCGATGAGCAGGTTGGTAGAGTCTCGTACACCGATATGGTGACACGGACTAGTGGAGGAGATCAGCCGATTAGCAGCGTATTTGAAAATGACGATGTGTCGTTACAGGATGGGGATATTATTATTGATAGGACGGGATTATTCCCTCGAATCCAATTTTCGGATAGGGTGCATGAGTCTATTGATAAAAACATGAGCTTGTTGATTATTGTCCGTTTGTTGGGGAAGACAATTGGCTATTCGAGCGCTGTGGAATAAGATAAGGCAACCTCAAGATAATTTCCACTTGGTTGACTTGGATAATAATTATTATTTGGTGAAACTAGAATGGAGGGACGATTATAATAAAGTCTTCACTGAGGGACCCTGGGTTGTGTTTGGTAGCTACCTGACGATTCAACCCTAGAGTCGTAGCTTCTTGACATCGGATGGCCATCCTTCTCAAGTGTTTATTTGGATTCGTCTCACGGGGCTTCTGTATCGCTATTATACGAGGTCGTTATCTAATGCCATGGTAGCTGAAATTGACCAGGTAGTAAAAGTGTACTACAACACCAATGCAGGAGAGATGGGAAAGTTTACGCGGTTCGCTGTTGTTGTTGATCTGATTAAGCCTTGCTTTCATGTATTGGTATTGACGGGTTTATTCAACAGATAGAGTATGAAGGGCTGCAACAGATTTACTTTAAATGCGGTGTTTGTGGACACTTCTAGGATTTATGTGGGAAACACGTGGAGGCGACGGGTGAGGTGCCTGAGGAGCGGGTTGATTTCGGGATAGCACATGATCCCAATCTGTCTGACTCTCGAGATGATTATTATGGTCCATGGATGGTCGCGCCGAGTCGTCTTCGTAAACCAAAGAAAAGCGTTGTTGAAGAGAATGCTACCAAGGAGATTGGTTAATAATCTGCCTACAAGGGTTATGACTGGCTCAATGGTAGCATGTAAAAGGGGAAGGATGTAGTGAGGGACGAGAGGCTAGGTAGTAAGGAAGGTTCGAAACTGAGTAACTCAAGAAAGAATGGTGCGTTGACTACCCATGATTCAGGTACATGCGCAGGAAGGAGTGCCCTTAAGGACATATCGGGTAATGTACTCAATTCACATTCCACTGCTAGTTTGTCTGAAAATTGTGTGTTTCAAGCTTCGAGAGTTAATCAAGAATTTCAAGTGACGTTTCATGAGCCATCTATACCGACCGGGAAGCATGTCGTTGTCTCGATTGACGACTGTTGTTCATCATGTCGATGAGTCCATGGTTCATGATGAGGAGACTAATGTTCAGACAGAACCAGCGGCCGAGGATGGCCAACCTTCTCGAGGTGTTATTAATGTTTAATTGTTTATTTTGGAAAAATCGGGGTGTTGCGAGCCCATCCTATCGTCTTTTTCTTGGCAACACCATGAAGACTTTGGCGTTATTTTAAGGACCACTTGGAGGCGAGATGAGGCGATTGGTACTAATTTACAGCGATTGCAAAGTAATATTGAATTGTGGAATAGGGATGTTTTTGGGTCAATTGGTAAACGGAAGGCTCAATTGCTGGCGCATATCCATGGCATTGAAAAAGCTTTAATGCATCGCCATTCGGAGGCTCTGTTGGCTTTAGAGTCTTAACTTAAGGATTATTTGGAGGTTGTCCTGAGAAGAAAGCCTTTAGATGTAGAAATCCAGGTGCAATTGGTTTATTCACGGGGATCGTAATACAAAATTTGTTCACACTAGCACCAAATTGAAAAGACGACATAATACAATCGATATGCTTTGTTTAGAGAATAAAAAATGGTGTACGAATTCGAATGAGCTGAAACGTGGTGCAGTTCATTTTTTTTGGCTCTATTTTCCCGCCAAGGGTTTTGTAATGTTGTGTATCCTGTTCGGGGTTGGTTTCCAATTGTTAATGGGGAGTACATCAATGTGCTTGATGCGCCGATTGTGAATGCGGATGTACGTCAAGTGGTCTTTGATATGGGTCCTTCCAAATCACCTGGCGTGAATGGTTTTCATGCATG